CTCTGGATCTCCGGCGAGAGCGATGGGGGCATATTTGGTCGCTGGAGGGGGGGGGAAGGAGGGTCGTATTTGCCCTTCATCAGAATGTTTCGATTGTTGACTTTTTTAAGTCTTTTCTGTTTCACATGAGAACTAGTAGGGAGTTGCAAAATACAGGAAGATGGGAAAAGGGAGGAGAAGTGGTACCAGATTAGGAAATTTCTGGGGAGACGAATGGGGACATTGCTCTGCAGAAGTTTTCCCCCAACGTCAGGACGTGCTGTGATGAAAGTACAGTGATAGCGAGTCTTTCCCCGAGCATCCGCCCATTCGGTTATCGCGGAATGTATAATTTGTGAACCTACTTTGAACTCGTCCATTTGGCGCATGGATTCCAGGTAGAATAGATTCATCCTGTAGTAGAGATAGGAAACACTAGTAGCACAGGCAACTATCACAATTATAGACGTGATGCAGCCGAAAATGGCGATCGATTTGACATTCATTGGAGGCATTGGCGTTAACAGAGGAATATCCCATCCAAACTTCCTTATATAGCGCCTTCATTAGCCAAAGACTGCCTCCGATCCTCTAATGTTGTTCAATAAGCACCTAGAAAAACAGTAATAATGAGATTTATCGTACGCGATCCGTCCATCATGCTGTCTCTCAAGCTCAATCCATCTTCGGAATTGCAGCTGTGAACATGCTGGTCTTTTTGGACCCGCAAAAAAGTAGCACAGCGCCATTTCGTTTCTATCCTGTTTTTGAGACCAGTCAGCTTCTGTCCATCCTGGAATCCTCCTCCCTCAGTTTCGAAGTGTTCATTTTTCCATGTTGGCACTGGTCTGCGGATTGAATGATCTCTTTTTCATCAGTTTTCTATTTTCGTCTGCGCCGTCTGCTCTAAACAATGTTCCTTGGCTGCAGTGGCTCTACACAGTTGGAGGCAGCAAATAACCTACCTAGACCGCACCCCCTTGATGTATCCATCGTGTTCACTATACGCTTTTCGCCAGGGCACACACATCCTGCCGTTGGGAAATTTTCGCAAAATACGGCCCTCAACGGTTCCTCCTCTGGTACGACCCTTCCTTCCCCATTCCCTATCCTACCTACCATCTTCCTTAATCCTTCAACTTCCTACCACTTTCCAAAAGTTTCTCCTCAAGTTTCTACCAGCCAGGATTGTCCGCGTTCCTAGGCTGCAGTGGCTCCACACAGTTTCCATGTTGGAGGCAGTAAACGGCCTACCTAGACCGCACCCCCGAATCCATCGTGTTCACTATACGCTTTTTCGCCACGGCACATGCTGCCGTTGGGAAATTTTAGAAAATAAAAAATACGACCCTCAAATGTTCCTTCTCTGGTACGACCCTTCCAGTAGTTTCTCCCCATGTTCCTACCGGCCAAGTTGTCCGCGAAGGATCCTGGTGTCCCAGGCACGTGGTTTAAAGGATTCTTGGAATACATGGATTTATTGTAGTGTCCGATGTAAACTTCCAAGGTATCCATTTAGTCCGTTGCTACGTGCAAAAAAAAGTATTTAATGCGAAGTGTGTTTTTTACGGACCCCCATGTACTCTCAATTCATCGCCCCCAGGCTTTCTTGTCTAGTCCACCCGGTAGACTCTCTGATCCCTCCCGGTTGTCTTCACCATTCTCTCCCTACGCACACGATCGGTGGTTAAATCACGAATCGACTCCTACCTAAGGTCTCGTTCGCTACGTTGTGCTGGGGTACGGCGGGGGGGAGGTCCTAGTCTTGCGCCAACGCCAGCGCCGTTTTCCACCAATTGTTGAAATTGGACAGCGACAACTAGCTGGATTGGGAAACAGGGCTGGGACCGCCTTCCAGTTTTCAGCAACGAACCGAAAGCGCCTCAGCATCTGCTGACAAGACTGTAGGCTAGCAAGTCCATATGTTGGCTGAGGCATAAATACACTGACTGGTTACATCTGCTAGGAGATAAATCCTCACGGCGGACGGGGAGTGTACGATTCAGTGTATGTTTATGCCTTCCAGGCAAATGTGGAATTACTTAGCCTAACGTGCTTGCCTTGCTGCAGATGCTGGGGCTGTGTTCGATTGCTTGGGATTTGAGATCAGCCACCCAGCCTGGTTCCCCATCGGCTGTTGCCGGCTATGTCCACCTTTACAGCAGTTGTGATTTTTCCTATAATCCAAGTTGCTTATCTTATTGTGAGGTTGTTTGGGGGTACTATCGACCATCCAAAAACCCACTGGCGACACGGCAATGACTGGCTCAATCCCGAAAAGGATAGTCAGTGCCTATTGGTTTATCTCTTGTTTCACTGGTAACTGGCCAAGTCGACAAAAGTCATCAAATTTGCGATGATTTCTCCCATAATGTAGACGATATCCGCATAGCGGTAGAAGGCTAATTTGTGTTTATACGAGATGAGTGGCAGAGATGAGCTAGTGAATTAGTGGTGATTGACGTCCGAACGGGTTCTGTCCAGCTTAAGGGGTGTGGTCTTTAGCCATGTTTTTGAACTCTGTAACGGAAGTAAAGAGCTTAAGGCGGCTGTTCGGTCCAGCGAGTTCAGGAATACTCCCTGTCAAATGGATGATGAAAAAGTACTCACTAAACAGCAACCAGTTAGGTTCATTTTGCCTTGCTCGTCCCTTGAACTTGTTTGCGTAGCGATGATAAGGGATAATGAAAGGATGAGATCCCCGCCTATTCTTTCTTTTGGACCATCTACATAACTCGGGCGTTTCCGCTACTTCGGTGTTCTGAGTAAGTACCGGTTCTCAAGCAGATTCTCAAGGTATGCGTCCTGTAATGGGGATGGATCCCAACTGCAAAACATGGAGATTTGTAGATCTGTGGCGAGCGGATGTGGAGGACAAGTTTCTATTACGGCACCACCTTGAAATTGAGTCCAATCATCAGACTGACAGACTCTGACCAACCGCCGTCGTGGCCTCGCCGCCGCGATTTGCATCCTATCCTTATTCGCACCAAAACGAATTAGTGAGAACATCAGAGAGTTCTACGCTCGAAGGTGGCTAAAAAGGGCAATTTTCACTAGCTTGCAGATCCTGCCTTCTTCTGCCCTTGATCCTGCCTTGTCATGGTCATGAAAGGCAGGTTGAAGGGACGAGCAGGATAGGATGAAGGGGAGATCTCCGCCCGATTTTTCTTTTCTCCGCTCATTTTTTCATTTTGGCCGCCTGAGGTATACTATCTTAGAAAGAACAGAAAGCCTCTGTTTGAACATAGTTTCGGGGGCAGATCGGCGACGGTAGGGGTTGCACTTTGTTGGCCACCTTTGTTTACTGTCTCCAATCGGGACGGGTCTAGCGTAGCCTTGTAGCGCTGATTTAATGAACAACAAGGTTTAATCACCATGGTGGCTAGACGAGCTTGCTCCAGCTTCACAAGAGTTCACAGTTTCACCAGAGTGAGACTTGTAAACCGGAACTAGTGAAGCAGTGAAAGTGCAAAATGCCCCTCCCATGGCTGAAGTGCGCAGTGGTTTCTTGTCATGATGTTCCCGTATTTTCAGCCCCCAATCATATCGCCAACTTCGCAAGCGCTTGTTTCTCGTCGAGAAACTTCGTGACGCGACAACAGTGGGATTGGTGGTGGGCAGTGTTGGCGTTCGAGGACATGTGTAAGTGTAGAGATCTCTTCGTGGCATTGCTTTATGATGAAGTCCGGATGTTTCAGAGAAGCTGTGCAACGAGTACGCGAGATGTGCAAGGCGGCTGGTAAACGTCTGTATGTGATCTCCGTGGGCAAGGTGCGAGATTTTCCATTGATTTTCATAGACTTTTATTTTTCATATTATTTTCGACTCATGGGACTAACAGTCAATCTAGCAAATGCTATACATTGGGGATCGTAAGACAATCCGGAGGCATATTCGATTCGTGGGCGGAGATGGTAGCAGGAGACTCGCTTAACATGCTAGCGCCCCGGGGGGTCAGATGTTCCCACGCATGGTAACCACGTTTTCCATGCTTATGGATCGACTAGTCCTGTTCCAGAACCTCAGAAGGGTGCTAGGATGAGTTCTCGCTTTGATGTATCGCGTCAGCTAAGCGATATCACCCGTTAGATTCTCCCCCGTTGGGCTCACTTTCACTGCTGGGATTCCTGTTGCTTTAACCTTATCGTAATTAATTACATGCGGCAAGCGGGCACGATTACACTGTCACGATGTGTCATAACGCATGACGTGCCATGAGATGTTACGCCAAGCGTCTGTCGGACAGCTCGCCTGGAACCACTAAGCTACTGGATCTGAACTTGAGCGGTCTACCGGCGTCGGTGTTTTAATAAGAATTGTGTTATTTGCTATTAATTTTGGTTTATTCTTTTGAGCTCTATTATTTTAGCGGGCTCACATCAGAGCCTATAGGCCTGCGGGTAACCGCTACTATGGCTATGGTGCCTGTTCGCGAGGGGAGTGTCTAGTGCTCCTATTGGGGAATGTTATAGCTCTGAAGTCTGGACGAGTTGTCCGAATTGTAAGACGCTCCACATGAGGTGTCTTGACACGTCATAGCAGATCATAACAAAGTGGTCGCGTCATACGACATAAGCCCATCACAAGCTCGCTTGCCTTCTGGCCACCTCCAGTCGGTGGGCGGAGACTATTCTGATGGGCGGGTAATGTTCATCTAAATTGTCCCCTGACACTCTTGTGACTCGTCATTCGTGTCGCAAATTGTTGAATTCTTTGCACTAGTGGATGGGTCTACCACACTCAACAATGGACCAAAGGTCTGTTATCAGAATTTATCGCAGCAGTTCACACCTGATCCTTTTCGTATGGGGGACGGTCGACAGTCGTAATTTGTCGCTCTGTCGCCCGCGGCCTTTTCTTAATTTGCGTTAGCCTGCCGATCGGAGCGCTGCATTTTGTCTAAGCTATAACATTGTGGATATTTTTGGCAGTTTGTGGTTAGACATTAGCTACTGTTGTCATATACAACCTAGAAATTTAGTTACGTGCGCGGCGTCGCCATAGCGATCGTTGTCCCATAGCCTGATCCTTTAGCACTAGTATTGATTGACGTGAGGCTGAGACTCATAACCCTGACAATCATTTTCAGGTAAATGTACCGAAATTGTCGAATTTTGCCGATATCGACGTATTTGTGCTATTGTCATGCCCTTTTGGAATTATACTGGATTCGTCAGACTTTTTCCGACCGGTGTTGTCGATGTTTGAAGCGGAAATTGCATTGAATCCGTCGAAAAAGTGGTTTGGTGATGGTAAATGGTGCGCGGATTTCACGCAGTTTGTTACTGGTGAGTCCAGAGGAATTCACTTTTATTATACAGGGCTTGTTCAGTTCCTATTTTGGCCCTAGAAAAGAATGGAAATGGAACAGCATCAGTAATTTTCCACTTATTCGACGGGGGAGGAGTGTTGAGAAGTGGTTCTTCTGCCTTTTGCAGAAGTCAAAGGGGTCATGGTGAGAGCATCGCGACTGGGCCCAGGCAGACCACCGTTTGTGAACCAAGCGTGTTCATTTTTTTGCGATTAAGACAACGGAACCTTGGACCGCGTAACTCTTCTAAAAAATTGTTTGGCAGAAAAATCCCACCAATCTTAAACGTTTCATACTGACTATCTGGGGACGTTTAGTCGGAAATTGGGGGCAAAGCTACTGGAAAAAGGGAACAGCATCATATTGTCTTCTCAGTTGTCCCTCCTCATCCTACCCACTATCCTCCTACATTTTCTCAACCTACGTGGAACAGGAAAGAACCGAGAGTAATCGACAACCAAAAAATGTCTCGCTGGTTGAAAAAGCTCCTATCAAGAATAGGTATGGCCCCCGACCGAATACGGCCCATGCATGACCTCTATTGACCAAAAATAACGCTCTTTGTCCCGCCCCATCACTAGCAACCATGTACGACTCCCTAGGTGTGATTCTTCTGACGATGCTTCCCAGACTGGGAAGGGGCATCTGTTGTCTGCATTTGTTTGTGCCCCCTCGCCGGAATAATTCTGAAGCGGTTCCCGATATACTTTAAAAGAGAAATTGATTACAAATAGGAAAATTGCGTATAAACGCATTCTGCAAAAAAAAACATGATATATTGGGATCTCTCAAGACGAAGCATGGCGTGGGATTGCCGTGCCGCCGCGTGCCAGTCCCTCCTCTCCTCATTTTCTAGCAAAAAGTGATTTTAGCCTTAGGCCACAATCCCCTTCCCCTCCTCCCCCATCTCCAGCTAACTCGTAGTGCGCCACGGTAGGTGAATGGGAAACCGCTCACGCATAGGAGCAGCCGGGAAGGTTCTTCTTCTGAATGAGAAATCCCTGGGAGTTACTGGCTCTAGAGATCAGTTGCTCAAACGCTTTTTCTTTTGAAACTGACAGTGGTTAGCGTTAGTCACATTCGGGGGGGGGGGGGAGGTTGATGCTAGACCT